ACCCCCCAATGCGGGTTGGGGCTGTGTATCACAAAAAAAAAAAAAAAAAAAAACCATAGGAAAACATGCTTTTCCATCCCCAGCTGGAAGAGACACCCTGTCATGTCCACTGAGAGCAAATATGTAGGGATGTTCTCAGGTTTTTTGAGTGGGTTTTTAAAAAAAATATTTAATTAATTTTATTTGTGTTTATTATTTTAATTTGCTATAGGGCATGTGCATTCACTAGAGAGAGAGAGAAAGAGAGAGAGAGAGAGAGAGAGAGAAAGAGAGAAGCAAGTCGCCAGGTCTAGGACTCAACTATGGTCGTCCACACGGGAGTCCAGTGCCTTAACCACCACGTCACCTGCTGGCCCCCTGTTCTCTGTTTTTTAGTGATCCAGGAGGGGTGACTCTCTTTCAACAGAAGCCCCTCCATTAACCCGTGACTCTCACTTGCCATTTCCTCACAGGACTCTTAGAATAAGTAGCCTGTGGATTGTGCTTCTCCACCCCCTTACCTCTCCCCATCACACCCCTTGGTTCACACTGGATGGAGATTGACTTCCATAGCCTCATCGGCCTTACTTCCTCTGCACGACTTTATGCATACTAATCCGTCCCTTTCCCAGTGGGACCTGGAACTTCAGAAAAGGACCAGGTGGTTGCTTTGGCATCAGCCCTGACCTCCTACCAAGACGATGTCATAGTCCCATGCAGTGACATGGTAAGTGTGTCATGTTGTGGAAGCTTCCAGGAGATGGGGGCAAGGGGAGCTGCTCCTTTGGAGAAAAATGCAGGAAGGAGGTTCCAGGGCAAATGTGTCTGGGAGCCAGGAGAATATTCAGTGGAGACTTTTAGCCCAGCATCTGTTCCAGAGGGGCAGGCAGCGTCCGAGCACACCCCTGCATTCACAGCTGTGTGAACGCGGACCTGCTGTTCCATCTCCAGCCTTTCCTGTTCAGTGGTTCTGGTTTGTTATCATTCTTTCCTGTTTGGCTCAGAAAGTTCCAGAGGGGACACATTTGAGATTTCTTTCTCTGTTGTGCGCGTCGTGTGTATGTGCTGAGTCTCCACCTCATCCAGTTGTTGATGACATTTTCTCTCCCACCCCTCTCTCCTCCCCCCATCCCTCCCATGCATCCTCCAGTCTCTACTAGCATTTCTTAGAGCTGAATATAATTTCCCCCGGGAGGGACTCTGTGTTTTCTGGCTGAATTATTCTTTATACGTTTCCAGTCAAACACTTTTCCCTTTTCAGTTGCACCTCTGCATCCTTCCTCCACTTGGCTCTTGCAGCGTTTTTTCTGGGTGTTTTATTTCCTCTTCTTGCCCCTCCACTCCCACCCCCAGTGAGAACATCTCTGTGCATGTCTCACAGCCTTACATTTTCCACCAGAAAAGACATTTCCAGGGGCCTTAGCGACTTGTGAAAATTCCTTCCAAACCTGTCTCCTGGAAACAGGATGGCAGATGAAAGATTTCTTCATTAAAATTAGACCCTTTAAAGAGGCATCCAGTAAAAGCTCTGGAAATCCCCAAAGGGCCTTTGCATCGTGCTGGTGAGGAGGCTAGGAGGGAGGCCTGGCCTTTGGGCATGGGGTAGGGACAAAGGATAGCTGAGTTCTAGTCCCCACTCCTTGTGACACAGAATCCCTCCCTGGGGCAGGGCGACTGGAGCCGGATCCTGTGGACTCCCGCTCAGGCTACTTGGAACAGCCCCCAAGCGGGGTGCTGGTTGTCCTCATGACCGCCCTTCTTGGAGACTGGAATATGATTTACGACTTGAGAAGCTGTGATTTCTCATGTGGGCGCCTAACGTTTGACTGTGCAGCTGGGCGGGTCTCCTGGAAAGGACGCCAGCCTGGTCCCAGCTGGGGTCTAACGGGGCCAGCAGAGCACAACCCGAACTTGGAGGAGACTCCTGGGCTGGGCCTGGGAACGTGGGGCCTGAGAAAGTGGCTGTCAGCCTCTAACGGGAACAGGACCGGAGGAGGCGCCGGAGCCAGCGCTCTTGCAGCCAGCTCAGAGCTGGTGCTTTAGGCAGCTCACTGGCTTCTCAAATGCCCCTGCTCTGTAGGCACCAGGAAAGGAAGGCGAGCACATGGGGGGCAGTCAGGCCCATTCCTGAGGCAGACAGGAGCCCTGTCCGTATGGCCTTCGGCACCTCCATGAGGACAGAGCCAGTCAGGTCATTAGCTAGAGGACCCGATTCTCTTCCATGTGGTTGTGACCCGAATGACAGTAAGAGCAGCCCCAATACCACTACCTCCGGGTCCTCAAAGGACAGGCCTCGGCTGTTCACCATGCTGGTTTCCCTCAGACCCGATGATTTCAGGTGTGCTCCTCCTGAACAAGTCATAGTGTAAGTGGCTGCAAGCCAGGCCAGAGCCCTCGGCCACCTCCAGCCTGGCACAGCAGAGGGCAGAACGCAGGCCTGGCCTGATTCCCTTTAAGAACTGCACTCATCTGGTATTCGGCTTTCTGTGCCTGGCTTGTTTCATGTAATATTCTCAGCTGTCTTGTCACAGAGAGGAGTCCTTTCTTTTAATCCCGTGTGTGTGTGTACACCACACTTTTCCTCCGTGCACCCGTCCGTGGACACTTGTCTTGGTGCCGTATCCCGGCTACTGTGAGTATGCTGTGGTCAGCAGGGGTGTGGTGATCCCTTCAACTTACCAGTTTCATTTCCTTTGGATCTATACACACAGGGTAGGATCGCAGGGTCAGGTGGTGGGAGAAGACCGGGAAAGGGAGTGGAAAATGATAATGGGCACAACCCCCTAACCATCTCTTGTCCCCATCTTCCTGTGTCACAGAGGCTTACCAGCTCCAAGGGGCTGGGCAGAGACCATAGGGCGGACAGAACCCGCTCTACCCTGTGATTAGGGACTGGACTGGTTCCCAGGAAGGTAGGGAGAAGGTGCCAGGAATGGGCTAGGCAGGGCTTCCCATCATGGATCAAGATTCAGTCCACTTTGTCCTGAACTGGTCCTGGCTTGGTTACCTAGTTAATCTCTTGCACAGATTCTCCCACCAAAGAGGAAGAGGAGTAGGCTAGCCCAACCTACTACACACAGAGCTAGAGAGGACAGAGAAAGGGGAAAAAGGCAAAAAGTCTTCCCATGAGACTGATTGTCTTACTCCAGTAACTGGGTGTAGAGCTGAGCTCAGCCCTGAGAAACTGGAGTCCGGTGACGAAGAAAGACTTTATTTTATTATAAAACTCCCATTTTAGAGACCAGCAGTTAGCATAATGGCTATGTTGCTAGACTCCCACGTAGTCGACCGTGGTTCGAGTCCCAGACTCCGTGGCTTAAACTCACACCAGGCGCGTGTGCGTGCGTGCCCAAGATCCCGAGAGGAGAATGGAAGAGAAGGGATTGCGGTGTGGTCATTCCACCAGGGGGTGATTTCTCGCTTTCTGTCTCTCTGTCTCTCTCTGTCTCTATAGCAAAAACCTCAAAAAAAAAAAAAAAAAAAAAAAAAACTTCCATTTTATAACCTACCTGCTGGGTTCTGCCTCATCCACAGGAGGCTGCAGAAACCAGTTCTCAGTTTTGGACATAGCAGGAAGGCCAAACACAGGGAGCAAGACCACCAGGACTTGATTCTGACTGTCATCTCCCAGCTGTGAGTCTTTGAACAAATTACCCTCACATTCTCATCTGTAAAACAGGGCTACTACTAGGAAACCTCATAGGATGGTTGTAGGCATCTAATGACGTCACGTGTGTCCAGTATCTGTCATATAGTAAGTACTTGTATTAGGGTGAGTGATACAAAATATCAGGGGCTTAGTGTCTCATATCTATCCCAGTCCAGTATGGGTCAGGGGGTCCTCCTTGAAGGAGAGACCTAGGGACCTAGTCTCTTTACACCTTGTAATGTCACCATCCTCAACACGTGTCCTCTGCAGTTGCCGTGGAAGGAAGAGAGACAAAAGGATCGCTCAGGGGGATTGTGCCAGGCCTGGGAGCTGCAGATATCTTTCTGGTTGCATTGACCCGAATCCAATCTAATTGCAAAGGAAGTGAAAAATGTAATTGTCTTCCTGGGTACACAGGCAGAAAAATGGAATCGGTGAGCATCTAGCCGTCTCTGCCACTGCATACATTCAGTTTTAGCTAATAATAGTGTCGTGAGGATGATTATCTGTGAGAACGAGCACAGAAGGTGTGGTAAATCAAATGCACAAACTTCGCAGGAGGGAAGTCAAGGTTAAGCAAAGGATGCGCCCTCCATCCTCTCCTCTCCCTCCACTCTTGCCTGACGAGCCCTAGTGGTAGGAAGTGGGCTGACTGCTTTGGACCTCCCCTGTGGTCCATTCCTACTCACCTCCTTTGGC